TTCAGTTAACTTCAAAAAGTGTTGTTTGTAATTGAACGCGATAACACAAGCTTCCATATATAAACTACGTTTTCTTAAAACCATAATATTTGTTCATTCTGTGCAACTGGCTTTCAGAATAACCTGGACTGGACAATACCTTCACTATAACAGCTTTTGTCCTATAAGCTATAAACGTGGATTAGTGAAGACTTTGTACGACAGAGCCAGGAAGCTATGTTCACCAAACGGGGTCGAAGAAGAATTAGATTTTGTCGAGAAATGTCTAAGGGAAAATGAAAACCTAGGGGATTTATACAGAAGTGTAACAGAGAAAAAGATGAGAAAACAAAGCATCCAGCTGTAGAAAAGAAAAAAGTGTTTATTTGTCTACCATACAAAGGAGATGTAGTGTCACAAAAGATTGAAAGGTGCGATAGCTTCCAAGCGGCAAAACTCATAACAGTATACAGCACCACTCCTTCTTTAATCCACTCAAAACTGGATAAATGCCCTGCTGATATCACCTCGAACTGCGTTTATGAATTTACGTGCACTTGCAGGAGCAAGTACATTGGAGGACAGCAAGAAGGGCTTCTATCCGGTTTTTCGAACATTTTCCCAAAACCCTGTGCCTGAAAGGAAGCAGATATTCCCAGAGTGCAATTACCAGACAAACTGTTGATACCGGACGTCTCACAGACATTTCTAAGTCCTTCAAAATATTAAATAGGCAAAGGACAGCAAATTTACTACGATTTGCCGAAGCAGTCGCAATCAAAAGACTTAAACCAGACTTATGCATACAGAAAAAGAGTGTGATTAACCTCTCACTCCCTTGGTAACAGAATTTTGATTTTGATTAGTCATCTAATTCAGTGATCTCAACTCACTGAACAAATCTTAATCTCATAAACTGTAACCGAAAAAAAAATTTTTGTTTCTTGAGTTGCTATGTGAACCTAAAAGCTAACACTGTTCTGTTAATCAATTTTTTCTGTTTTCTCTCTTACCCCTCCCCCTCTTTTCAACTTTAAAAGCGTATAAATTGATGATGAAAACTTAAACTAAAAACATTGTAATGCTTTCATTTAGATGCGTCAATTTTATAGTATCTCTTTTCTACCACCACTCGAACATTAAAGTATGTTATTATAACCTATAAAACCATTGTAATTTCAGGTAGTCTGCAGCTGATGAGAACCTGTGAAATAGAATGATATCATTTTATACTGCAAATTTCGCCTCGTTTTCTTTATTGAAATAACCAATTATCTTTCGCTATATGTTTTGGGAGTTTGAAAGTAATGAAGTCTACTTTGATGTGCTTAAAATGTCCTTCTCCCTGTTAACGCTCATCCTTTAGGGTTGAAATTGTGAAATGCTGCAAAATAAGATGCGTAAGAAAGTATAAACAAGGTTGCAGGATCCTGTAGCGACAAAATAACGATCTCCAAAAGACGGTAGTTATTGTGAAAACAGACTTTTAGACTGATAAATATAGGTTGAGTACAGTTATGTTGGCTAAAATCTTTACCGTGGCATTCATTAGTTACAAAGAGACTGGAAAAAACACCCACGTCTGAAAAGTGGTGATGGTTGTATTTATCATAACTTACTGGCCACAGTTTGAATAAACTACGCTGTTTGTATTGTATTTTTGTTAACTGCAGGTTGTGCAGCATTCATGGAAAGTCAATCCAACTTTGGAAAAATGTTGCTTAACTTATGAGTAATAGCACATAAAGCTTTGGCAGGTTTACCTTCATACTCTTGACAGTTGAAATTATAATCCCAGGTTTCTATAAGAAGTATTTCCAGTTGTTGTTGTGAAAAACAGTTGAACTATACTTTGATGATCCTATTCGAAATCTTTACATCTTTGTATGACATTAAGTCCAATTATGACAGTCAATCTTATAAACAAACTGTTGGAAATTCTAAGATCTGTATTAAAAAAGTAAAAGATTTTATTCGGACTTTGTTACATATTATTCACAATTACACGCTTGATAATCGATCAGCATCTCATAAATTTTACATTTTTCGAATAGTGAGAATGAAATCCTCGAGACTGACTTGAAATAATAAATTTTTGATGGTAAGAATTTCGACCATTTATTCATTCCATAATGAAGCGTCAATATGCCTATCTGCGGATTCTTCACGTCTACGGAAATTGTTAGCGATCAATATCCATTCTAAATAAAATGTCTCCAGTGCATTTTCTGCCTTATTGTCTCTTTATATCACCAAAATTAATGTTATTTTTGCATGAACTTTACCATCGTACTTAGGATGAATGTTTTTTTTTCAAAAAAGACTTACGGAGATACACACCATGGCGACTTGTGCAGTCTTATTTGCGTTCTCTCCCAACTTAAACAATGGAAATAAATTAAATGACTGTTAAACAAATACTTTTGTAAGATAATATGAATAAATTTCACTGTAAGAGAAATTTTCGAATTTTATTATCGACATCGTTTACTTATTTCGTTTAAATGATTTACTATGTATCCAATTTTAATAACCTGCCTAATAAAATTCAAATTACTGAAAAAAGCAGTCATGTCCTTAGACTCATAAGACAGCAAAACCACTCATCTTTAAACCTAAATGAACTATGAAAATCTACCATATGCAGGAAATGTTATTGATTACCTAAAATAGGATAGAGATTGTCTGGTTTCTCGAACATTTCTCTTTAAGAACACTCAATATTTTGAACTTGAAAAGAAGGCGAAAAACATGGGCACAGAAGCTCACTTCACAATTTCATGGTCAGATAATGTGTTACAGTATGCTGTCTTAAAAGCAATATTTAAAAACTCTAGTGAAGCAGCAAACATTACCTGTATACTGTTGAAAAAACGTTACCAACAGATCCCGAAAAATGTAAAATAAACTAATAGTATTTAGTTTAAGACTTTTGGATAGAAAAGATATTAAACTATTCTAGGAAGGTGACAACTCATTTACAAAAGCCGTGAGTTCATAAATTATTCTTTTTCAGCTTGACTCATTCAACCTCACTTCTTAAAATAGCCGTTAACATGAATCCATGACCTTATTCGTGGAAGTATTGATAGTGTTGACAACGCATATAATTTCAAAAAGATTGCTACTGTTTTTGCTTCTCACTTACCTAAAGAAGGCGAGACATCACTGACTTGGTTTAGTGTAATGTATATTTATTCTAATAATGTTTTCTCTCTACCTTATTAGTTTGGTTATTAGATGTATCACACAATGAAACAGTATTATTTACTGGATGACGTTTCGACCAAAATTTATTGTTCATAATCATATCAGTTATAACCACACGACTTCAAAACTTGAGCTTTATAGTTCTCTTTATTCTCTCCTATTTGTCGTAGGGGTAGTAGAATTTTCCAGATATCTGGGACAGGTATTGAATCATTCTTATTACACTTATATGCAGTTGATTCAATAAACAAAGCTCCTGTTATCAATATCTCCCCACACCCTTTGACATTAGATTTTAAAACTGTCATCTTATCCCATCCTATTGCATGGTTGTGTGTAATTGCCTGTGGTGCTGTAGCTGAACTATTCTCTCAAAATCTAATTTTCTTTACTGAGTAGCGAACATCAGTCAGCTTGAAAACTGTCAGTTTGTCAGAATATAATTTACTCTGCTTCCTGCATTTTATTAATTTTTTTGGTCACTAATGGAATGCTATTAACTGCGCATAAATAGAGAAAAAAAGCATTATCACTTAAAAGATGCATACTTCACTAGATTAATGATACAAGACAATTTAAATGTATACGAAGCTTAACATTTATCAGAATAATAACTGATTTATCAACATAAGGTTTTAGAAAGTGTCAGTAAACTTCATTAATTCGATTTGTAGGCGAGTTGTTGCAAATGCACTAGCATATAGCTAAATTATATTGCATATTACGGAGGATAGAGTTTATTCAGTTCCTTCAAGGGTGAAAATACGTTAACATGATGAAGAGGCCTAATTCTTAGTAATGAAATGAAATTCACTTTTCGAATATTTGATTATCTTTTTTATAATTTGACATAAGCAATTCAAGGTATCGTGAATATTATTCTATCTAAAGTGGATGCTTTATCACCATTACTCTACTTATTTTCATATCATTCTCCTTCTAATTGTGGTGTCCTGAGCTACAACCAAAATCATGCTGCAAATAAAGCATAAAAATATCATCGGAAAAAGGATGAAAATTCAAAATCTAGGATAATGATTACAAGGAGTTAGGCTTTCCAGTTAAAATTCCAAGATTGAATGACGCAGCTGATATCTATCAGACACGACATCATTAGCTTGCTTCAACTACAAAGAGAACAGTTTAACTCAAGTCTAAAGGATGATCATATGAGATGCAATCTTTCTGTGCTTGGCTCATTTTTAAGTAAACTTTAGAAGACCAAATATAGCTATAGCATGTTAGCGAAGTCATAGTAACGTTAGTTATGATTTTAGCCAAGCTGTGACTCTGTTAACTTAACCTTAATGTAGCCATTTTGAAAACGCATATATAAACCGAACAGTTGACTTATTGTTATATGAAAAAGCATTTTAAAGCGAGCAGGTAGAAATTTCAAATGCCAGAAAGAGAAGGAGACAGTTTATACTTGTTAAGTAACTTGTTGTACACAAATTTTAACAACATCTATCACAAACATTGATAGAATTAAGTGATGAAAATAATACACATGGAGGATTAACAGAAGTTTAGAGAAAAGAAGGTGATGACACCAATCATAATAGAAAAAAAACAGGAAAATGTGGATGTGAACAATAACCAAAAAGTTTAATATGTAATTCACAACAAATGTTAACGACTTTGAATGACAGTGGAATGGATTAGAAATAGAAATTAAACCATCAAAATTATACAGTTATTATTTTAGTGATATACAGATGTTTATAACCTTGGAGAAGTTAGATAGTTTCTCCTTGAATCATAGTTAAAGTATATAGAAATAATTGAGTTATAATGTCCAGGGAAGCACACTAAACTTTCATATTGAATCTATCGATGTGGTCATCATTCCCCGCTACCGTTTGAGTTACCGAGGAGAAAGATGTACTTTTCTGAGTAACTGGTACAGACATTACCGCTTTCTTGCAACAGAATAATTGTAAAAATATTTGACGGAAATAAGACATGAGTGAGATGAACACGAAAAAATTGCAAATAGAGTCAATAGTGATCAAGGTATTGCCAATGGTTTCAAGTAGTCGACTTAAATGGTCGTTTTCGAGAAGTCCAGCAGACTGGCAGATTGCAATCATGAAGTTCATACACTCCAATAGGCCAAATGCTATAGCAACAACAAGAACAACGCGTGTTGCCCTCATTTGACCCTTCTGACGTTTACGCATTGCATCTTTTTGTGAACATTCTTGTGTTGCTGGTATATCATCTAAAGACTTTGAATTTGAGCTTTGTAGTAGTAAAGACTCTTTACTCCATGGCCGTAGTCTTATGATAATCATAGCTGTAAACAGTACAATGAGAATCCAGGTGATTACTGCACGATATGGTAACACTACAGAGTTCAGATACAGTAAGAACGATTCACGTGAAAACACATAAGCTTGTGACCACATTCCATACTGATGAATAGTGTCGTCATAACACAGAAGACCTATGTAATCTGTATGTTTCAAACCAACTATTATAATCGATAAGAAAAGAATTAGAATGAATATTTGAATAAATCTTCTGGGTTTCCTTAAAATCCTTTGCCAAGCACGTGACCCAAGTGGCCAGATAACAACTTCAGCACGAGCAGCTGTAATTAAACAGACACACCAATTTCGACAAAAAAGACCTACCTCTGCAATAAACATGAGGAGATTTTGTATGACCGGTAATATAATCAAAATCATATCAGGTGGAATGTGACTGTATCCATCAATCGGTGTTTGATGAACAAATTTCGGTGATAGCACTTGGACCAGTTTGAATACAAATAAGCCCAGATTGAAGATGACTTCGCATACACATAAAAATACTAAACTTATCATGAATGAACTTCTTGTATGTCCTGGATTACGTGATTTTGTCTGAGGTGCGCTTTTACTGATTGTACTCATCCGCATACTTATATTTGTGCTCTCATTTTCCATTAATCGATGACGTCCTGTATTATGTGATCGCGAATTGACAGCTACCTCTCCAAACAAAAATACGAACAATGAAATAGCATTTAGAATAAAACCAATTAGAGCAAAACAGATTATGGGTATCTGGTGTTTTGTCTGTGGTAATACTAACGGTTTCCCAAGCATATTTGAATCATTAACATCATGGCATAGTCCTAGGTACTTGACATAATAATAAAAAGTAAATGAAAACTGCAGTGTTGTAGAGTTCATGTTCGCAGTTGGAGAATAACAGTATACTTCGAGTATCACTAAAACTTTAGAAATGGTCTAAATTTATCATATTTATATTATTGTAACTGGGTAAGATTCCATTGGTTCATTTTAAGTTTAAATAGGATTACATTGATAAGCCAATCATAAGGGTTTTTTATGTCGTTTTACTTTACCTACTCACAAAAAGCATAGCAGCACTAATAATGATAAATAAATCCGGTTTTTGCTTGTTAGTCATCGTACTGAAACTTGTATATTGACTGTTCACTAACAAGTAGTACAGAGAAAATAAGGCTTTCGGTTTCTCAAGGAAGCTCTGTCTACACAAAGTAATAATAATAATTTGCTTGATTCCAAAACGGAAATTGTAATACAGAATGGAATTCTTAGCATTTTACCAAGGTATTGCATCCATTCAGTACATTAATAATAAATAAAATTCTACATAGATTAAGGGTAATCTCAGTTTATTATGACAACAACATACTGGCATATAGGTAGCAAAGCCAAAAATCTAACAGAGTGTTTGAAGGTGTTAGAAAAGTAGATTCTAGCGTATTTACTGGCGTAAGCAGTAGAAAGAAGCAAAGGAGCAAGCAACAGAGAAAAGAAAGAAAGAAAACGTTGTACCTATAAAAGATATGAAGTGGAAAAACGAGATCCAGTATTTCTACTGACAACCTATAGGCATCACACCTAATACTTTCTTTTTCGCACAGAACACGAGCTAAGCGGCGTATGGTTGAGTTCTTTTGTACTTGCTGGTGAGAGCATATAGTTTTCTATGTAGGCTTCTGGTTTTGCCTGATGAGACAAAAGGGGAGAGTTGTGAATGAAAAGGGTGGTGTGAGTTAGATAAAATGGATTTAGCCCATTTTTCACATGAGTCCATGTGCCTGTCAACCAGAATATTAATAAGCTGCTTACCCCGCAGACAACCTTTAACATCCTGCGTAATGAGGTATAGTCTTTCTTCATAGCCCTGGAAAAACTAAGGGGGAACAATATAGAATAATATGCAGGATGCAAGAGTTAATGAATGGTAGGAGTAAGGGTTGGGTTATACCAGAATGTCTTAACTTCTTGATGTAGAAGGTAAGACGGAATATTTTCTTAGAAATTTACATTGAGAATTTATAGGAGGATTTAATTGGAAATGTGGCACTTTATAGAAGGTATGTAGATGATATTGTAATCACCAGTGATAAGTCTTGTTCTGCCAGCTCAATATTAAATCGAATGAATGAAGTTCAGAATACTCTGTCACTCACATCTGTAGAACAGGAAGATAATTGTTTATCTTTCCTAGACATATTGTTTAGTAGACGGCTTGATGGGTCAATAAAAAGATCTATTTGTAGAAAACGTACCTAGACAGGACAGTATCTTAATTATCACATAGAATTGACGTTAACAGATCTTTTAAACCTATCCATAAAATGTATTTGGGGCATATCCTAAAGTTTGTGGAAACCCTAGCAATTAGAAAGTTTGAACCACCTTTATGCGTTCAAAAACAATTCGTCATCACATTAAACCTTTCTTGGTAAATTTTGTTTAGATATCATAGCAAATGTACTGTTATTTCTGCTATTTGTTTAAGTGGTCTTCATTATTATTTTGACCTTGAAAATGTCCATTTAACTTGACCTAAGTCTACTTTCTCACCTATTAACTCTTTATTAATGTCGTATATATGACAAGTCCGTGTGTGATCAGATTGTTCGAAATGTGTTGCGCAAAAACATTACATTATCTATTTTCCCTATTGTTGCGGTTGGACTGTTTATTAGAGAGGAAAAATATTCTCTGAATAAGATATATTCACATGCAAAAACCGCTGGTTAAATTTCGCATGTGTTCTATCACTAGTTCCTCTAAATTTTATAAAGAAATAAGGTAGACTCTTCGCGATTGACTGTGTTCCCATTTACTAAACTGAAGTGAATATTTGGCATTTGAAACGATGGATGGTAGATTCGAATCTCAATGAGAACATCTTTTATCACCCACTGGAATGCAAATACACCTGGATGACAAGTCACAGTTAGTACGAAATGCACTTCCTAGCCATCATCAACCAAACAGCGATTCATGGTCAGGCTTAAAAAAACAATCGTAAATTTATATATGAAAATCACGAATCAGAGATTAAGTTGTTAGTGAACTTGTAAGATATCTTAGGAGCTTTCTAAAAAAATAATTTTTTTAATGAAATATTTTTTGAGATATTTATTTAGTAACAGAGGAAAGTAAGAAACGAAAACGCGTTTCAAGACTTTGACAAAGAAAGAAAACAGTTAAGCAATATTCACAAAATTAATCACTGATTCATTCTGATATCTGAAATTAATTTTTGAAATCCTGAATGGAAGGAATCACAGTGTCCCTGTCAATTATCATAGCTAAATACCTGATTAGTTTTAAAGAATAATGATGGATAACTGTCAATCCAACCTTTCTAAAACATTTTGACTGATATTTTTGGCCACATTTTTCATAAAATTCTTCCACTTTCCCAAGCAATAAAATCTACGTTAAACTATAGTGATTATCTTATTCACATGTGGATGGATGTTACTCCAATGAATCGGATTAGGTATACTGTAATTTCTCGAAAACACTTAGCACAAAAGTAATAATAATTTAACAGATGTTATTAACATATTTATTTCTACTGCATGAAATTACGTTCCAAATTAATTATGGCTTTTTAAATTCGAACTTTTTTCATTGTTAAAGCGAGATTTATATGAACTGTACAGGACAGAGAATAGTTCGTTTTATTAGCTTACATAAACGAAAATTTGCGATAATATTATCACTCTGTCGTGTTCTGAATGGGACACACGAATTCAACAGCACATCCTCATTTCACCCTATTCCCTACAATCCTTTTTAGCTGGTTCAGTGATCGTCCATAAGCTACCCAAACTGTCTCCTCCATGTCACACTTGGACCCACGCTCAACTCGTCGTTTATTATTCGGGTTCCACTTGACAACCCAAAGCTTGACTCCACTGAGTGATCTCCTCAGTGTGAATCCAGTCCATCTCAGTTTTCTTCGGGGTATTTATGCGACCAGCAGTGAGTTCATGGTTGGTTCACTGCCACAATTTCCTGTCACTTATCCTTCATAGTCTGCCATCTGATCTTCAATGTAAAGCTAACGAAGTCAGCTGCTGGTAGAAGTCTGAAGCTAGTTGGATATGCTTTTAGTGAGCCATACAGAATATGTGAATCTTGTTCCTAATTCTGAGTGCAGATGATCTCCACACTGATTTCAGACTAATGAAGGTCCACTTTGCTTTTGCCTTCGACATTGTCGGCCATGTCACCTGTAGTTGAAAGGATGCTGTCTAGGTAAATGGAATAGGTGACTTCTTTTAGATTTCTGTCGCTAATGACAACTAGTGTTTGTCTTTTCTGATTAGGTATTCCATCACATCTGGCTTTGTAATGTTCACATGAAGTCCCATTTCATTTGACTCTTCTACCTAATTGTTGGTTTTTGCTGGTACATCTACGAGCTTGTGTGACATAAATCATTCGCGAAATTCGAATCTTCTACAATCCCCTTGTCAGCCCAACATATGTCCACATGGTCAGTCCCTTGATCCAGTCCACAATCACGGGAAGTCATAGGCGGTTAACAGATAATGTTATTTCACTTGTTGTTCCATTATTATACGCTAGAATTCATATAAATCAACATCAGTTAATCTTTACTACTTTAAATGAGAAATTTCTCATTCACAAAACCTGATAGAGTATAAAGCGATATTCAGTAATACAAGTCTCTCAAATTAAAATGAAATAACTGTTCACAATAAGTAAACTTTTGTTACAGCAATCCAGATTGGATAAATTATCGGCAGCATTATATGTATACTTGAAATTTGAAGGTTTCAATGTGAGAGTTTCATTCCTGACTAATGATCTAAGGCTTATGACATTATATACGTTGAAATTTAAAGGTATTCCAATTTATTCTTAAGAAATTCTACCACGGTAGTGACAAATCCGAAAGTAATTGTCTATATTTCCAATGCGCTGAGAAGCGTAACTTGTGTCATATACATTTGATGTGCTATACAAACCGTTCCAGTCTCAAATGTTGTGGGATGAGGGACGTTTCTCTAAAAGCCTCATGCAAATCTTCTCATTCATAAACTCGGAAAAAGTAAAAACAACGAATTCCGTAGACAATATCAACTCGCATTTTACTACTTCGTAAATTCGTCTGAACGGCCTACAACCTGGACGACATAAAAATGCCAGACGTTTGTTACTCACAGTTTCTATAAATTACTCTTAGTCAACTTCAGAAATTGTGTTTAATATTTTCTAGTACTTTTGCATTTTTGCGTTGTCCAGGTTGTAGGCCGTCCAGACGAATTCACGAAATAGTAAAAGGCGAGTTGATATTATCTACGGTATTCGCTGTTCTTACTTTTTTGAGTTTATAGTAGCATAAATTGCATTCAATTTTATTCAGTGTAGTTTAAATCATACAGATATGCAGTAAATTGAAAATATGTGTTCAGTTTATTAGTGTACGATGTCATTTTCATTTGTTGTAGTTCATTGGAACAATCAACATAGAATACGTTTTCTTCTTTGAGGAATAAATATGAAGGGTAATAATATTATTTAAATATATATCGAAATACAGAAATTGCATTCATCATCTGTTAATATTTTTTAATCATTATATTTTCTATAGTTTTGATTTGTAAGGGTTAGTTATGCTTTTACGAGTTCACCACGGATAGATATCAGTTAGAGAACCATTGAAAACCAGGGAGTACTGACTAGGTGCTGTTTCATCCTAGTTGGGAAATCATCGGCACTACGCTCCCTGGTTTTCAATGGTTCTCTAACTGGTATCTATCCGTGATCAACTCGTAAAAACATAACAAACCCTTACAAAACCAAAACTATAGAAAATTAATCTGATGCTCGCTAGTGACTTGCTACAGGTTGGAGTTTCCTGA